AAGCAAAAATTAAAAACAAAACTGGTGTTTATCACACATAATACGTATTTTGTTGCATAATAAAATAAAGTAGTCATTATTCGTGATTATATTTCGTGTAAATCTAGAATTTTATTGACAATACGTTTTGGATATCAGAAATATAATTTAGTTATAATGTAGTAAAATGTGCAGTATACATACAACTTAAAAGAAATATTTAAACAACAGAATTTGCGTTACAGTTATTCCACTGCGAACTCAATTTCTGCGCGCAATATTAATAGTATTAATTCACTATCGACTTTACTGTAGTGCTTAGGTTTTTACTACACGTTTGGGTTCATTCTTTGCAATAATTGTTGGGTGAAATGGCACTGTAGTCTAGATCCGTTTACCTAGAGATCCTTACAGCACATGTAACTCATGTAAATGATGTTTATCATATGATCAACATTGGTTTGAAATATCCACTTTTCTATGACCTGCTATGGTATAAATCAATTCAGGTTATTTTCATGCCTCTCAGATTTGGCAATGATCAATAGAAATTTTCTTGAAGTATCACACATCTGTTTCTCGATTACAAATGGTAACAAATTGAATTTATCCTTAGAATACAACATGCATCATTTATTTACTCTTTTGCATAGAATCAAACAAACCTAGATCGCTATTGCCCAACTTTCTTGAAATACTCATATTTTCTTCGGAAAAATACAATTTACAAATTACAAATACACAAAAAAATACAAATACAAATTACACGAGTGAAAAGATAGCACAGTTCAATGAGCGTTATTCATTTTCAAAACCCTCATAATGGCGATAAATACACTACCATTTCATGTCTGTGCTTCCCAAATCCATTGCCCAGTAATCCGTAGTTCAAGGTGGTTGAGAATTTGCATCACAGGGAGCATTAAAACTGTGGGACTTGTTTCTGCCTTTCGGGGCAACTGATTTCTGTACTACATTTGCATGATCGCCTGTGCATAGTAGAGCTCGCAGTAAGTGACAATGTCTGTGGGAAGGAATGAGGGGGGAACGGTGAGCCAGCAAGTATAGATACGTTATCTGCGAAGCAAGACGACATTCTTAGTCTGCGAGACACTGTGTTCTCACAGCGGGATGAGATGGTACGAGTATCCTCGGGGATTGGACGGAATGAGATGATGTGGAATGGTGTTCTCGGGAATGGAATGGAATGGTGTTCACGGGGATGTGATTTATGGGATGGTGTCATGGATGAAATGTAGGGGAGGATATGGAATGGTGTCCTTGGGAATACGTTAGGAAGGTGTTCTCGAGAATGAGACACGGGATGGTGTCCTTGGGGAAGGGAGGGAAGGAGAGGGAAAGGGAAGGGATGGAATGGGAGGGGAGGGAATGAGACGCTCTTGGTGATAGGTTGAGATTGGGTGGCAGCGTGAGAAGCTGCGTGGTTACATCGTGATAACGCTGGGCGACGTCATCGGTGATGGAATAAGCCAGAGAGTGGCGTCTGAGAAAGCATAATGCGGCAAAGTAGTGTCCTCGGTGACGGGCCTGGGAGAGCCTCACCCTTGATATGGTGATTGGTTGGAGAAATCACCATTCGCTGCTTGGGCGTGGCGACCTCTGTTCTGATACGGAGAATGACGTCGTTTTCGAGACGGGAGCGGAGCGGCGCGAGACGGGAGCGGAGCGGCGCGAGACGGGAGCGGAGCGGCGCGA